TATACTATGTATACATTTTTCTTATACTGGCTTAGTGGTTTTTAGAAAAGAAACCTCATTAATCTGAATCTTCTAATTTAGAACTTGTGATTATTCAGACAAGGTTAAGCTAAAATTTACATTTGAATTATAAATTTAAAAAGTGTTTACCGTTCAACTGAATCTATGAATAAGAGTTTAGAAAAATATTAATTATTTTCTGAAAAATAACACTTTTAAGTGCTTTAAAGTACTTGTTTTATAGTAAAAGCCACGTGTTATGGTTTGAATTTCTCCTCCAAAATTCATGTTGAAACTTAAGAGGCCTTTAAGAGGTGACTGGATCAGGAGGACTCTGCTCTCATGGAATTAATCCATTCGTGAATTAATGGGTTATAATGGGAGTGGGAATGGTGGCTTTTTAAGGAGAGGAAGAGAGACCTGAGCACACAGCGTGCTCTGCTCCCTCACCATGATTCCCTGTGTCATCCTGGGACTCTGCAGGTTCCCTACCAGCAAGAAGGCTCTTACCAATTGTGGCCCCTTGACCTTGGACTTCTCAGCCTCCATTAACTAAAAAATAAATTTCTTTTCTTTATAAATTACTCAGTTTCAGGTATTCTGTTATAAGCAACAGAAAATGGACTAAGACACCATGTTAGTGTTATCATCTAGCGTTACCAACAAGGAAGGTCTGTATGTCAGAATTTCTGTCATTTCAACACAAGTATCTGAAATAAGTGAGGTAGATGGGTTGCTGGAGAGTATCTTGCTGTTTCTGCTCTTTAGGGGATGGGGAGGGAGACAACTAGATTCCTTGCCTTATATAATGTATTAGTAAACAAAAGTAAGGAACAACAGGCCTGATGTGGCTATCTTTAAAAGGTCTGCTTAAAAGGCAGGCCCTTGGCTGGCATCTGGGAACTTGACTTTTGGAATGTTCCCTACATTGTTTTGCCTGCCTGAGACATTGACCATGCTGTACCAATCTGCCTAGATTGTTTGTAAAAATAATGCAATTTAGGGTGAATATCTCCTTTCTTTCTGGGTCTAGAATTTAGGTAATTGTAGTTGGGTGCAGAGGAGAGGATGCCTACATGACCAGCCCCTAGTAAACACCCTGGACTTTAAGTCGTAAGCAGGCTTCCTGGGGCAGAAACACTACACATTTTTTTTTTTTTTGAGACAGAGTCTTGCTCTGTTGCCTGGGCTAGAGTGCCATGGCATCAGCCTAGCTCACAGCAACCTCAAACTCCTGGGCTCAAGTGATCCTCCTGCCTTAGCCTCCCGAGTAGGTGGGACTACAGGCATGTGCCACCACACCCCGCTAATTTTTTTTCTATTTTTAGTTGCCTGGCTAATTTCTTTCTATTTTTAGTAGAAATAAGGTCTCACTCTTGCTCAGTTTGGTCTCAAACTCTGGACCTCAAGCCATCCTCCCGCCTCGGCCTCCCAGAGTGCTAG